TGCCAACATCCACCCCTTCCAAGGAATAACAGCTGGGCCCCTGGCTTTGTTCAACTCAGTTCCTGGAGGCCCGAGGGGACATGTATACCCGACTACAATCCTCAGTAAAAACCTCCAGGCTCCAAATAAAGATGAGACTTCTTCCCTGAGTCTCCCAGACACCTGCACTTCCTTTATACGTTCGATAAACTCTGCTTTCACCTCCTGCTGCCCAGTGTTTGATTTCTCTCCTGCGCACAGCCAGGGACCTTCTCGGCTGGCCCTGCGGGAAACCTGGGCCTTGGACTCAGCCTTCCAGTAGGCATCACTAGCACAGAAATTCAAGAGGGATCTGTTTTGAAGCACTTTGATTTGGACTGAAAATGAACATGGAAAAGATGACACTATGAACAACAGATATAAAGAGCAAGACTTAAGCCTGGGTGTAAAAAGACAGCCTCAGAAGGAAGTCTTGGAAGATTATCCCAGTGAGTGAAAGATCTCAAAACAAACAAACAAACAAAAAACCAAAACAAACCAAAACCAAACAAACAAGAAAACAATCAAGGACACAGGGCAATAAGATCAAAATGAGATTACTTAACAAAAGCCAGCCATTTCTTTAAACTGAAAATAATGCACATTGTTTGTCCCTGAAATGTGACATGCACTCCTTTTCCAAGAAGCGGAAGCATGTCGAAGCAATGGCCCACGCCTGACAATGGCAAGGGCCCAATCACCCTTGCTTCCCAGAGGTCTGTTCCTATACAAAATCTGGAGGCTTGATTGAATGGACACTGCGGAACTTAGCAGTCATTTGGAACAGAAAACGCCTGGAAATCAGCCTATGCAGGGAGATGCAGAATTTGAATCAGGCAGCAGCCCACCTGTTCAATAATGAAATAATTGCTCAGGGCATATTCTTCTGTAATCTTTTCTGATGTGACATCTATTCTTGTGCTCTGTCTTTCTCCTGCTTCCTTAACATTTGCAAGTAATCTCAGGGCCTCCTAAAGCCGATGCAGAAGCCAGACAGTCACTTCCCTAATGCTGTGAAAATAGATTCAATTTTACATACATCAGGGTGATTTCAGAAGCAATTTCTACATCTCTGGTGTAAGCATTACTTACATTTTTTTCCCCCTCAAATCTCATCCCAGTGGTTCCACAGGGCATTTAAAAAGGTACCTGATGCATTCCAGGGCATTAAAAAGAATCCCCAGAGCGTGTTTGTGGCTATAGCCTGAGGACACCAGATGCATACATAAAGTCCTAAACTATTCAGTGACTCAAACAAATGCAAAATTTCTTAATAACTGAATATATTGTCAGTTGAATTTTTTCAATTTCAATGTCTTTTTAAAAGCAACATCCTTAAAATGTGTGTGTGTGCGCGCGCGCATATAAAACAAACACACATATCAGTCATTTAGAAATATTGTCTCTAACTTGAAAATGTCTAATTAGATTCTATTGGATGGGATTTTTCCTCTTCTTTGGCTGGCTAATCTACCTCAGTCTTGGGTGCTTTCCTCTTAAGAGTTTAAGTTTTAGCCCATGGGGAAAACAGTAGTGATGTTTCACTTGAAATCCAAGAAATCAGCGTTACCCAGGTTTCAACATGAGATCAGAAAACTTAAGATCAAACAAATATCTATAATTTCAAGGTCATGTATCTTTGACTATCATAGTTCTGGCATTCATCTTCTCAGGGCATTTTTACATATAGAAAAAAGTATGCATAAGAATCTGGCCTATACACAACAGACACATGAAACGATGCTCAGCATCCCTCCTCATCAGGGAAATACAAAACAAAACCACACTGAGATACCACCTCACACCGGTCAGAGTGGCTAAAATGAGCAAATCAGAGAACTCTAGATGCTGGCGAGGATGTGGAGAAACGGCACCCTCCTACACTGTTGGTGGGAATGTAAACTGGTGCAGCCCCTCTGGAAAACAGTGTGGAGGTTCCTCAAAATATTAACAATAGAACTCCCCTATGACCCAGCAATAGCACTGCTAGGAATTTACCCAAGGGATACAGGAGTGCTGATGTAGAGGGGCACACATGTACCCCAATGTTCGTAGCAGCACTTTCAACAATAGCCAAATCATGGAAAGAGCCTAAGGGTCCATCAACTGATGAATGGATCAAGAAGACGTGGTTTCTCTATACAATGGAATACTACATGGCAATGAGAAAGAATGATATCTGGCCATGTGTGGCAACATGGATGGAACTTGAGGGTGTTATACGGAGTGAAATAAGTCAGGCAGAGAAGGACAGATACCATATGTTTGTACGTATAGGTGGATTAGAAGGAACTTAACAGAGGACCATGGGGGAGAAGAAGGGGAAAAATAGTTGGGGAGAGGGAGGGAGGCAAACCATGAGAGACTCTTGAATGCTGAGAACAAACTGAGGACTGATGGAGGTGGGGGAGAGGGGTAGGGGGAGTGATGGGCATGGAGGAGGCACTTGTGGGGATGAGCACTGGGTGTTAAATGGAAACCAACTTGACAATAAACTATTATAAAAAAAAAAAAAAAAGAATCTGGCCTATACAGGAAAGGTTTTGGGTGAATGGGTATCACTTGGCCAGGGTATTCTATTAGCTAGTCCTGTTACTGAACCTCCTTTCCCCTAGGCCAAAACCTGGAGAATTAGTGACAGATGAACACAGGCAGAGACTCTCAGGGAGCTCTGGATGGGCCTTTCTTCCAGGGCACACCAAGACCATTTCCTTTTCAACCCCTTTTCTGCCTTTCCTAGCCACCAAGTCACTACCCCCTTTTCTGAGTCCCAAGGGAATGTCTGAATCCCAGTGACTGACTCATCTGGGTTGAGAAAGGAAAAAGGAAAGGCTGGCTTTGTGGGTAGGCAGACTGCATGCTTGCCCTGCTCTCTGAGGAAAATGCAAGTTAAATATTTGCTCATGAAATAATCAGTACGCGCCGTTAGACTCTGTCTTTAAAGCCATTACACAATCTTAAGAAGTGTGCAGACTTAGCATTGCCAATAATGGGTGAAGTGACAGCATTTGTCTGTTGAGATGATGCAAAGCAAAGTACATGACACCACCTATGTCGAATTTTTGCCAACATGTTAACCTGAATGCGATCATGATGAAGAAAATTGGATAAATCTGGATTGTGCCATATTCTAGGAGACAACTGGCCTAGACTTTTAAAAGGTGTCGACACACTGAAAGAAAAAAGGAGGGACTGCTGTTCTAGATGAAAGGTGATGGAGAGACATGATGGCCAAGTATAACGTGAGCCCCTTCAGTGGACCTTGGATTAAAGCAACAACAACAACAACAATAAATATTTTTGGACCACTGAGTAAATTCAACTATTAGATACTGAAATAAGGTTACATTTCTTGGGTCAGATAATTTTACAGTGGCTATGTTGAAGAGTTGTCCTGGTTCTTAGGAATTCTCTGGAGGCAGAGTGTCATGATGTCTGCAACCTACTTCTAAATGGTTCCTAAAATTTTATATATCATATATATAAAATGTACTGTATATTTATATATATACATACATATATAATATGTAGTACAGAGAGAGAATGTGTGTGTGCAAATATTACAAATGTGAATAATTGGTGAGTCTAGGTACAAGGTAAAAGAGTATTCATTTTACTATTTTCTCAATCTTTTTATAGGTTTAAAACTAATCTCCTTCCCAAGGCAGCAGGTCAATATTTGAAAACGGCTATTGCTTCCCTCAAAGTTCAGTGTTCTTAATCAGTGTGCCTATAAGAACCATCTAAGTGGCTTTTACAAAATCCGCATCCCACCTTACCCTCATCTCCCTACCTCTCTTCCCTCAGGAGATTGAGATTTAGTCGGTAAGGTGGAGGGCCTAGATATGTGTATTTTGAAAACTTTCTCCGATGGGTTCTGTGCTACACTTGAGATTAGCAATCACGTGTCTAAGTTACCCTCAGACTCTGGATCCATCAGGAATTAGCTATGTAACTCTGAGAAGGTCAGCCACATGCACTGAATCTTGGATACCTTACCTACAAAATGGGAACAATCATATGCAGTATCTCACAGGGCCATTGCGAGACAAAGATGCTCTATAAATACTGGTTTCCTTTCTTCATTTTCTCATAAACCCTCCCAATTGATCATATCTAAGTGATTTTTACAAATCATGGTTTTTTCCATTTGCCATTGACACAGTGTGTGGAGGACATTTGTCTCTGCTCATATGCCTTTAGATTTCTCGAATTCCCTAATCTGGAACAGAGGCTGGGGAATCTAGCATTTCTATTAAATACAGGAAAAAGAAGTGGCTTAAAAGAGAGATGAGAATAAAAGTTAGCTTTAGTTATCTAAAGATTTTCCTTTGGATAAGGTTTAACTCTGAAATCTTAGCCATTTCTATAGGTTTGCTATCCTGTATCAACTCTGCATGAGGGCTCAGGTGCTTTTGACTCAATGCCCTTTGGAACACTGGCTATAGCTTGGACCTGGCCTGGCCTGGGAGACATGGATTCCAGGTCTGGATAGGTTTACTCATCAGCCCTGACATTGCAGAAGTTGCTTCTCTGAGCCTCAGTTTCCTAAGCACTCAAAACAGAGATGCCAATAATTAGTGGCACACCTACCTTACATGGTTTATATGAAACACTGTTTAGAAAACTGTAAGACACTGAATTCAGTATGGCATGTTTTTCTCCCTAAAGGCATAACTATGTCGTCTTTTTTAAAAAAAAACTATTATTACTTTTAACCTGTGTCTATTTATTTCCATAAGCAGTTAAGATGGCTTGCCCCATTTCCATCTCTTTTGGGGGAATATTCTTAAATCCTCCTTTTCCCTCAAGATGGGCTGCCCCAAGTCCTTGCCAGGGAGAACGTTTATCCTTGGAACACCAAGGGAAGCATCCTGAGCCCGTACCACTACAGAATCTGACCACTGTGACAAGTCCACAGCAAAGCTACCAGGGTCAAGTTGAACCATGGATGTTCCCTTCCCCTTAGCAGGCCAACTTACTGAATCCATTAACGTCCTGAGAGCTAGAGGAGAAGCCTTCATCGTTGCGGCTGGCACTGAGCTTGGTGGTGGGTTTGTCAGCTGAGGCCACGGGCCCCATCTCCCTCTGGGCTCCACTCTGTGTCTCCTTCTGCTTCTTGGCCAGCTTCCTTTGGGACATGTGCAAAGGGAAAAAATCACAGTCAGATGATTCCAGTTTCATTAAAGCATTGGGAAGATCAGATTGTTCTTCCTTCCTACCCATCATTCTCAACCCCCAAACCTGGTTCATTCTCCAGGAACAGAGTCAAGGTGGGTCTTCTAACGTCAAGGTGTAATAAGCCTAAATCCTCCTGAAATCATTAATGACTTTCATTTACCAGGAAAAATGAGTGAGACTTATCCTGGAACATCTCCAACAATGGGTATATTCTTTACTTGAGCTTAAAATTGGAAATCAGTGAGACTTGTATGATGCTTTCCTTGCTCACCTTTCAAAGGGGGGAAGAAACTGATGACCCTTTCTGTTCCATGGCTCTGCATGAGATTCAAAATGGAGTCTGACCTGTCTCAGGGACTAAGCTTACAAAATAACACACCAAACAACGGGAGACTGAAGTAGGGACTGGTAGTTGGTGAAAGGTGAGGGTAGGGGTTAACTAGTCTTGTAGCTCTAAAGGAGAAAACTTAAAGCTGAACTTGATGCTTGACTATTCTCATAAGAATGGAAGATCCTCAGAACCAGATGGGCATTTATAATACTATTATATAGTAGTGGTTTCCAAACTGTGATGGAAACTAGCATGATTTTGAGAGCTGATGTGAACACACAGAGGCCCTGGTTCATGGAGGTAGGACAGGGTTAGGCCTGTGCATGGCCACCTAGTTCCCCAGGTTGTTCTGACACCATCTACTAGATGTTAAAACCATTGGGTTTTGGCATCAGGAAGACCTGGGTTCATATCCTATCTCAGCCACCTGCCGGCTGCGTGACCTAGGGCCAGTTCCTTAACCTCTTTTAAGTTCTGAACTCGTCCTTTGGTACATCAGTCGACAATGGGACCAACCCCCTAGCATTGTGATGATTAACTGAGATCATGTGGAAATACATGGAGCACGGCAACTGGCGCACTGAACATTCAACACATGGCAGCTGCATTTTTGGTTTTATATCATCCCCGCTGGTCAACCACATTCCAATTCCAAGTCCCCCTTCAAGAGACATACCGTGAAATCCCTGGATATCAAGTGGTAGAGATTTGGACACCTCCCTAGGCAGCAGAAGAGTTACAACATCTTTCCTATGGATTTGAAATTTATTTCTCTTAAATTTTAAATGATTGTTCTTAGATCATTAGAAGTACAAAAATAGTACTAACCCCTCTTGTATATGACAGTTTTTCAAACATTTCTAAAAAACCAACGCAGTCCCTCTGAGATTTCCCCACATTTCCAATTCTAAATATAGCCGTTATGTTCCTGTGATATGGAAGGCGATAGGCACATTAAATATCTTGGGGGCAAGTTCTCTCAGGTCTCTTGCCCCATTTTCCATATGACTTGGTTTCAACTTCAATCTTAATCACTCCTATCTCAACACGAAGCAACAGATCTCCCGAAGGATTCAAATTCAGTGCCATGTAGGAAAAAATTTCCCAAAATTGAGCCCACTTGGTCATAAAATAGGCAGTTTCAAGAGGTAATGACCTCCCAGTTGGAGGAGGTACGAAATGAAAAGACAAAACATAGACACAGAAGAATTTTAGAGGAGCTCATCTAAATCAGTTCTAGTTTGACAGTATGAGAGCAATGCCCTTCCCATGGATCCCTGGATCTAGGTGTGGACTGCACAGAAGAATGACAGATGACACACTCAAGTGAGGATGATTTGGGGACAGTTTATGTGCTAAAGGACTACTGACAAAGGTACGAAGGGTGAAGGGGAACCTGAGGTCCACTATAGTGACAGGTGAGCTGTTGGTCACCGGCGTGTCCAGAGGGACAGGTAGAGGAAGCAGACACCAGCATCCTGAAGGACAGAGTTGTGAAGGTAAGACCACCTGCTCAGAAGCAGCAGCCTTCTCTCAAGGGACTCCGCTGATCCTCACAGGGCGGGAACAAGAGGCAGAAACACCCCGGCTACATCCTCCCCTCTCCCTATGACCTCCGAACAGTGGGTCTCATTAGCTAAACACAAAGGGCAGGCAGAGGCATGGAGTCCATGTAGGGCTAGCTCTGGAAGCAGAGAGCACAGTGGAGAACAAGGAAGAAGGAATCTGGATTCAGGAAATCCCTGCCAAGAAGAGAATTTTATCTCCCCCAATTTGGCCACAATTTGAAGACAAATGCAGCCTGAAATGCAACCCATCCTTCCTTCTCTCCTTCCTTCTTTGCATCCTCCTTTCCTCCCCACCCCTTTCCTTTCATTCCCTCCCTCCCTTCCTTCCTTTCCTTTCCTTATTTTCCTTTCTTTCTTTCTTCTCTCCCTCCCTCCCTTCCTTTTTTCCTTTTCCCTCCCCCCCCCCCCCCCCACTGGCTTGAGGAAAGAGGGGCTCTCAGGAATAGGAATGCGTCTTTTGGATATAATGCTATAGCCACAGGCATTCTGTACCAGTAGACAGACTACTCCTGGCAGACAGGAAAACAACAAGAAACAAAGTATTGGATCAGTGTTGACAGTCAGACTGGGGCCAGGGAGAGTGCCAATGAAGGAAAATGAGTGGGTCTACTACGAATGACATTTCAAAATTTTATTCTTCATTTATTATCAAAAAGGAGTGTGTTTAAAAATGTATATGTGACCTTCTTAATCATAAATTTGAAAAGATATACAGCAGATCCTTTTCCTCTATCTAAGCTCTGCTCACATTGCCCTGGCAGGAAATAAAAGGAAATCCAATAAGAAGAAAGTTAACTTTAAAACTGTAAGTGAGTGCATACAAGAGGCTTTGATATTTCCGTAGAGGCATAACCAATCCCAGTCCATTAGGGGTAAAATAATATGGAGAGAGTTGTCTTAGACACAAATCATTCATTTCCAAAGGAATAATAATAAAGGCCTTGCTGCATCTATGAAAAATAGCATTTTAGAGAAATGTTTGGGTAGCTCTGAAAACCTGGATGAAAAATGAAAATTGAGCTTCTCCAAAACATAGATATTTAAAAACTTGACAATAATGGCATCCTTAGTATTTAGACCATGGTTGACACTACGTGTTCACGAGGGTGATGCTATATAATAATTTAAAAAGGTACAGACAGGTGTTTCAGCAACTGGCAAACACAGCTACAAAGTAGAAACAGAGGAAGGGAAGTAGAAGGAAATAAAACATAAAACCATGGTTTTGGGATCTATATTCTATCAGAATTCTAAGTTTAAGAATTAAAAAACCATCTTGGTAAAACAGGAAAAATCATGTTTATTCCTATAGACATAAAGCTTAACTGATACCCCTCCCTGTTTTTCCTTAAGACAGGAGAACATCCAAGCCTATGAATAGGGCATGGAAGACCCTCTGGCTATGGCTCTAGTCTTTAACTCAGCCTTATCTTCCACACACACCTCCTCTTAAGGAACACCAGCCACCTCATCTTCACACACCCCCCAACCATTCCTCAATACTCTACATTCCTTAATATGTTCCCTTTCTTCTCCATTGGCCCCTCCTCTCCATCCTTCAAGGCTCAGTGGCATTCAAATGTCACATCTCCTTGAAGGTTTCTCTTGCTCTTCTAAATAGATTTGTGGTTTTCTTTTCTTGGTTGACTCATCCACTGAACAAATATTTATTGAGCACCTACATGTACTGGCTTCTGCTAGATGTAAGATAACAGTGACAAAAGCCAGACATGATCCTGACCCTCACAGAACATGGAGAATAATGACAAAGACAGGTGGTAAAGAGATAAATACAGACACAGATATAAAATCACAAAAGAGATGAAAGCCAGGGAGAAGAAATATGTGGGGCTAAGAAATACCAATAGTTGGCTTGAACCCTTTCAGATCAAGGAAGGGCTCATTGCCATGCCAGCTAAGTGTCTGTCTAGTTGAATTGTAGGGATCCAACTCTCTCACCCACGAGGGCAAGAGCCTCTTGGGTGAAGGGCTTTTGACTTCTTGCACCTACTCTGATTTCTTGCTGAGTGTCTGGCACACAGCCAGTGCTCAATAAATTTGTTGTACAAATTTATATTTAAAAGTCTACAATTTGAAGCGCAGAAAAGACTGCCATCCTACTCTGACTGCAAATTATAACCACTTTAAAAAAAGATACATACAAGGAAAGAGGAAGAAAAACTTGCACAAAATTAGTTTGTGACCTGAAATATTTCTACTTATGAATATTTCTGGCTGACAACTTAGCATTTTCTTCCGGTAGTTGTCACAGAATTCTTGGGATGTTTGCAGAATTAATGGAATGTTCACAGAAGTCAGAATTTTTTTCCCCCAGAGCCCACAGAATAGCCATACCTATAAAATGTTTTCTTTTTTTTAAATCACATAAAATAGTTACATGATACATGGGAGAGTCACATAACTCATGGAATCTTCAGATCCTTCAAGATTCAAGTACTTGAGACTTAGGAAACTTGGAATTTTTTCTCTAGTTGTTCTGAGATTCTTGCCAACTGGGTCACACAATTTCACCAGTAGGGGGTACCAAAAGCTGGTAAAAAGAGAGCATGCATAAGCCTACCTATTCCTCTACAGGGACATTTCTAGAGCTGAAGAACATTTTAAGACATAGCAATCCGAAGTTTACTGTTTCTGACAGGCGGGGACAATGTGATGTGACCATAGCTCTTGGCATTCTTTCTTCTAACGGATCACTCTGAGGTCTTTCTGACCTTTGCTTGTTAGCTGAGTAAGGGTAGGTGGCAGGATGTGCCCATGATGGACCATGAGTCCTGTGATTTATTCTGAGCACTACTCTTTATAAGGGATAGTGGCAGGTGGAATGGCTCAAAGGAGAGGAATGCAGGGCAGTGAAGGGTTCTGAAATCATGCTCTGAGAGAGGGAATGTCTGAAACAATGGGGATTATTTTTCAAGGACAGAGAATATTCAGGAATGCTCTCTTCACACATCTGACTGTCTGGCTCTATTGTGGACCCAGGGGCAGAATTAGAACCAGGTTGGCTTCAAAACAAGGAAGAAAGAACAAAGTTCAATTGCTT